CAATGCATATATTATCTCTTGATTTTAATTCCTCTTGCAAGGATTGCAGTCCAACCCTGCCAAATTCATCATCACTACTGATGACAGTGATATAAGACCATTGAAATTTTTCAATTAAATTAGCAATAACACTAGCTTGTAAAAAATTAGAATGGCGTACTTGGAGGAATAGTTGATTGCTATTTTGGTCATTTGCAATCGCTGATTCATAACTGATTAATGGAATACCATAAGTTGAGAAAATATCGGCTACTGGTGATGCAATCCATGCATACGATGGACCAATGGACACTAATGGCGATACTTGTTGCTGTTGTTGATTAAATTGGCTAGCAGGAGATTGCTTAGAATGGCATTCATTGCCATGTCGGCTACATGTAGATTGAACAACGATAGAACGAGTTAGATTAATCGCTTGATTGACTGCATGCTCAATGTTATAAAAGGTATCGCGAATATCGTATCCGAGCGTTATATTGGGTAGAAAATCGGTTTGGTTATTAACCCATTCTGCAGTATAGGCCATGGCTAAAGCCCAATTAAAACCGTGAAAATTGAAAAAATTCACTCTTTCCTCTTCACCAGTTGTATTATAAGCAATTAGCTCGGCGTGAATCGGAAATAGTCCTGTTAATGTGATATCACCAGGTTTGTAGATCCGTTGAAAACTATGATCAGAAAAGATATGTTCCCGGCGACATTGTTGTAAGATATTTCCTTCAACATTATTAGCGCTGTTTAGCCATACAATTATTATAATTATTACGTTGAGAAATGGATAAGAAACAGCTTGTCTCATATTGTTATTAATACTATTAACTGCTGCTCTTAAAATTACTCTTTCATCCTAATTTATCCAAGATGGTTCAAATTACTTTATAAACTATCAATATTGTAATGAATTTGCACAATTACTCTGAAACAGATAAATGACGTCGATCCTAATAAATTTATTTTAGCTGTTGTATCGTTGACTAGATTCTTTTATCTATCTTGGTTAACCAATAAACTTATTCTTTCAGAAATTGATAGTATCGCATAGCCAAGACATGAAGCAAAGTAACAGTACTGGTCTTGTCAATTTTAGGCATTGGAGGAAACTAAAATAGAATAGAGGAAGATATAAAATGCTCAAAAATAATCAATAAAAAGCGCTCCTATATAATCTTTGGCTAAATTAAGAAACTTGCCAAGTTAGATTTGTTGAGAGAGTTAGCAGTGGTAATTTTGATCTTAAAATGATTTCAAGAAAGCCTTTGTAAAGTTTGCAAAAGTAGTCTTGTTATCCTTGATTATGTACTAGCTATGGAATGATAATAGCAAGTTGGTAATATTCAAGTTATAACCAAGAAAATAGCGCGATAATCTTTGGCTAAAATGCAGCAAAAATCGACGGATTCGAAGTTGTCCAGTGTTACTGAGGATGAAAAGTCCCAAATAATTTAAGTAAAACTTGAAATGAAGCCTTAAAAATGGTTCTAACGTTGTTGACAAACAAATTGGTTGCAGAGACGTACAAATGGATTTGAATAGTTTCAAATGAAGCTGGAAAATCAACGCTAACAGTCAATTAATTAAGAAAATTCTTGTCGATTATGAGAATGCCAAAGGTGATAGTTTAGAGTCTAAAACAATTTGATTCAGCTTTAGCTATGACTGCTAAATTACTTTAATAATACTGATTATATACTAGCTACTAGAATGCACAACTGAGAGTTTATCAAGTCAACGAACCAATAATTGATGTCAAAAATTTATTTCTTTTAGTTGCATTTTTTTCTGTCTAAATTCGATTCTTCTACCGGAGAATACAGCCCATAAGTTCTGATTATACTTGCAATTTCGACTCCTTCCAGAACAAGCAAAATTGATGATTTAGGCAAGACTAGCAGTAGATGATTAAATGAGATAAGGATTTCAATTTTCCTGACAAACTTATCAATTGCTGCTATCAAAAGTTGGTTGGTGCACCAAAGTAGAAATTAGCCTTGTCCGTGATTGATGACATGGACGATAGAATAAAATAAGAAATATTACTCATATCGATCGTCGTGCCCTATTAATCTATCAGCAGAGACAATATTCAGTTTATAATGGAATCCTCTACTGCAATGTAAATAAACCTGCTATTATCTATCAACAATATATAAATCAATATTACTAAAGAAAAAAATGACTTGCTTTATTATTTTACTTGTTATTCATCGAATTGTGCCAGCATTAATTTAATTACCATTTGAATTGATAGCATTTAATGATGGTGAGAATCCAATTATTTGTGCTATTATTACTAGGATATCAGCGTCGATCTGACCTAACTATAACGATAGAAACATAATCATTGTAATTATAGACTCCTCACTATCCTCGTCATGCTATAAATCATCTATATAACTTAAATAAAGTACCCTTGCCTTTGAAATTTTAAAATTCAATCGAGCCTATCGTCAGAATGGTGAATGATAATCTTTTGATGGAATATATAGTATTATCGATTAGATTATAAAATCATGTACTTAATTTAGTATAGAGAATTCGACTGAAATTTAACTCCAACCCTAACCCTTCCATTTTCTAAAATGATCAGTTGCCTAATTAAATGCCTCGAAAGTAAAGTTACTCTCCACTTTAGCATCGGAATGATCCTTTCATTAATTAATGCATTAATAATTATCGTAACTTTAATGGTTAGTAGTTGATGCATTAGCAATCCTTAATTTATGATTAGATAGACTAAATAGTAAATGCCAACTAGTTTAACTGGATTTTATCTATCACCTCGAAGGATATTCAGGTTGAAAATATCATTTCTAAGTTTAGATGAAATATCTTGGTAGGATAGACTAATATGTGTTTGTTAAACTATTATTAAGAATTGATTAATTTAATACTGATACAGTAAATTTAATATACTACGGTAATTGATTAGTATTCCAAATAACTTTGGTATAGGGTTAGAAGATACTCTCTCAAACCTTTTTGCAAGTTAAGCTATTCCTAGCTTATAACAGAAGCCAATACTACTGCAAAAGTATCTGATCGTAAATATGCTATTTAATAAGGATAAATTACAAGAATTTTCTGATGAGAGAAATACCCAATTTTGTAATTGAAATTAACTGTAGCAAAGTGTAGTTAATTCGAATTTGAGGTACTATTTATGTCTACATAATTCGTTTCAATCTTATATAGAAGTAAGAAGATCTATAAGAGTCCCTACCATAGTCTATGAACGAGAGTGTAGAGGTAAAGCAAACACATCTACGGTTGAGGTAGGAACTACTGAAATAAATATCTATTGAAAAAATAGAAGATAGCGATTTCATAGTCGCAATTGAAATTTTAAAGAGAGTGCTGACATTCTTAGCTCTATTTATCAACTGAATAATCTAAGCAACTGAACTAATTTCAGGTAGTATAGTTATATCGATATCGAATAGGATATCTAGTAATTAAGTACAATAAATGATGAGATATTCACGCAAACTAATATGAATTTAAGACAAACTTGGTTAAAATAAAGTTGATGGAATTCCAATTCTAATGATTATAGTTTACCTACCACATAAAGCCGAAGTAAACACTAGAAATTACCTTTACGAGTGATCAATCACGAAACATAATCGCTTCCAACGACCTTAAACTAACCATGCAGATCTACTTTGGCAATAAATCATACAGATAAGATGAATAATAGCATAATTACTTAAAGTGTTTTATTTTCTGAAGCAACCTGATTTTAGATTGTATTCCAATAAGAATTTTACGATTGCACAAAAATTGGTGCAGTGATAATAAGCATGAAAATAACATAATTAAATGATTTGCTACTAGTACAAAGGCAAAAATTTCGAGATGATAATGCGTGTAAAAAAGTCTTGATGCATTGTTTAAAGCTAACTCCAAGTAAAACTTTAAGAACAGTAATACAATTGTCGTGAATTGAAATGGCATCATCGCTGATTAATATAGTAGCTGTAATAATTAATAGGTATGCGTAGATTGCAACAAAAAAATGATTATTATCCAAATTACAATAATACTAGATCTAGAAACTACTTTGGTTCGGTCATTTCGATCATAGCGTAGAAAGTGATCGTAGCATATTTTTATAACTATCATAACCAATGTTAAATAATTATGAATATATTAAAAATGGTGTGTCTTACGAGTAAATTACTAACAACATATCATCGTTGCAGTCCGTCATCATAATTGCTATCTTAACGATAAGAAGCAGTTATTTAAAATAGAAAATACCAATCGATAAGCTAAAAAAGGGTAACGTACATCTTATTGATATTTATCTAAGTATAAATCACAATCCCCTCAAAAAATGATTTGACCTATCGCTTATCATGCTTTCAATGGCAGGCAAACTTACGTACCGTATATAATTACATAATCTACAAGTAGCTATTGCAGTAGTAGCATAGATTATTTCCGCGTTGAGAATTTTCGTACGTAAAATAGAAAATACAAAAAGCTATCATATAAAGAATGAGTAAATCTACATTGTGGTAAATACATAAATATGTAAAAATTGCTGAATAATCTATCTTCTTGTAATACTGTAAAAACTAGCTCAATCGTCTACTTCTAAATGATATATTGAGCTTACATTACCGCTAAATGTAAAGCATTATCACCATATTGCAATAACATTAAAAGGCTATCATAGATTTCAAATAAAATAGCTTTTTTAAAGTGCTGTCGTTAAATAGTCCATATATAAAAATTTATCAAACGATACATACAGATTGATTAAGCGAAGATAGTATAAACAGTTCTAAGCCAATATATATTATAAAGGATCAAGTAATCTTAAAAATAAGATGGATTCATTTACAATACAGTCCAACTATATGCTATCCATCGATGTTTTGTAAATTTGGACAGGATGAAAAATGTGATGATATAAAAATTCTCGTAGATAATTGCTACTGTGAGCAATTACAGTTTCATGTTATAGTTGCGCCAATGTGACAGATTAAGCATCATTAATTACTATTCATTGAAGCATCTAAATTATTAATATTAGCAGCCGATGAATCAAATAATTTGTACCAACTAATGATCAGATTCGATAAATCTTCTTCACTTAAGACAATTTGTGCAACTCCCATGAAAACTTTTTTATCTATTAAATTATAATTGCCCCATATAATGACCTAAAAGAGAAGAATAAATGTAGAATTAAATCAATTTATGTAATACTTTTTAACTAATGGGAATTGTAAAGCAATTCTTATGCATAAAATTGATTAGGAGATAATAGAGGGGTACTAGACGACGCACAATTAAAATAGCTATTTATCATTGAGATTTTGCTATAATATGATTTAATGTCATAGTCTATGCTTAATTTCGTCAAAGGCAAAGTGTCCAATGTATACCTCTAAGGTTTTATCCGTAATTGATACTGGAAACTGTAATTTTTGCTGATACACAGGCTCGAGAGTTTTTCGAACAGATTTCGATTTCTTTTTTGCAATGTATTTATCTGATGCATCCAGTATATAACATTTGGCATAGGTTGCTACAAAAAATAAAAAAATAAAAAGTCTAGCGTATTACATACATGCAGGAACGTCTGGTATTTTTAATCATGATCCAATCATGTATTTGACGCGTAAGCAAACATGTTGTAAAGATGCATCTCTTATTTATCGTATACTTTTTACTTACATGGTAAAGATTTGGTATTTCTAGCTATCAGTTCCTTAGCTCTTATAACTTCTACTTCTAAAATGCCATTCTTGTATTGTAACCCCAATTGCAGTTTACCAAATGATGACGATGCTAATGCAAGAAAGGATATTTTTATATACTTAGATAATCAATATTTTTTGACACCTTTAAGCACTATATATCATATTAAAAATTATTTTGCTATAGAATTGTGTTTACTTGTTACATGTGGCCCAACCACTTGACCATGTCCCAAAGCATCTCGCATTTTACGAATTTTTTCCGGTGTCTTTGTTGCTCTATTAGAAAAAGGTAATAATAAAAGTAGACATGATCAATTATACTATACTTTTCTACTTGTCTAACTTTTCACTATCAAGACATATAAGGCTATTGCGACATGAGTTAAGTAATCAGGTACTAATAAATTGTCGCTACAGACTCGTTGCATACCCGTTAGTCCAGTTTTGAGGCATTCTGCTACTCGAGCCGCCAGGAGAATTACTGGTATGAGAGGTCGGAGGATTAATATTATTTCCGTTATGGATATCAGGTAAATTCGTTTTCTTTGAGTCGTTTGATCCACTAGATGATACACTACCGGAATTTTGCTGTCTTCTGCCATGACTGTTGCTACGAGGCGTAAGCTCTTGATTAGATGACGTAGTCTGATGAGCACTAATTTGACTTTCTGGCGTAGTGTGATTACCTAGAAGAAGTTCGAGATCCATTAATATTATTTAAGCTAAAGTAATGTTAATAAAATAAAAGCTACCGACATCTAAAGATATTAAGAATGGTAATATATAAATTCTTCGTTGCAATGTAATGATTAATATTCATAAACAGTTCAGCCAAAGCTCACTTCGAAGCTATCTTATAATTTATGAATCACTTTTACCTGAAGAAATGTTTTTGTTTTTATGGCTATTAGCATAAACTATAACATACGCTACTAAACTTGAACTCATTATGTCGCTATTTTTAAATACGTATCTAGAAGCAAGTACTGCATGGATATAAACTGTAAGACTAATAAAATATGAACTATTGCAAGCCATCCTATAATGGAAACTGCTGATGTATGCATTGCTAATAGCAGATGACAGCTACTTTCAAATCAGTATAATAATTAAGTTTTGTTATCAAGGATGATAAAATCATTCGTTATTATATCAATACATGGATTTTGTACTGTAGATATTGACACTCAGCTTACTCGTTGGTGTTGTAGATACATGATTGGTTTGATGGGCATCATTATGATTCGTCTTTAATGGAGTTTGATTTTCTTGTACAGCTGGATTTTCTATTTCACTTGGTGGCCTATCAATTCGTGGTGGTTTCCTCGGAGGTGTTTTCTTATCATCATTGCTAGCATCGCTAGTTGCTGCATGATTTTGATTCTTTGTATTATCATCCGCTTCACTCGGATGATCTTGTGATTGAGATGGAGCATCTTCATGGCCAGTGTTAGACATTGCATGCTCGGCGTAGTTAGATGAATCAGCAACACGGTACTTATTAGCATTCACTGAGCTATGGTAAACTTCTTCAGGATGGCCAACCACTGAATCTTCTGAGATAGCACCTACACTATCATCATTAGTATTTGTTGCATGTAGAGATACATTTGATCGGCGTAGACCATGAGATGATTGCTTATCCGAAGCAGTCTTCTTAATTGGTGTCGGAGGAGGAAGTTGACCAACAGAATGATCATGATTTCGTAGTAAATACCAATGAGGTTGATTATCCAATCTAGCAGTTGCCATCTTAATGATTACTTCACCTAAAAACTTAATGCCATGATCTTTATCGTTATCCCAGATCGTTACTTGCAAGCTAGAACTTTCAAGTCTTTTATCACTGATTGAAAAATACATAAAGGTTTGATTCCACGTTGGATTAAGTTGTCGGTCGCATGTTTTGGTCCGACGTTTACCAAATTGGCTAGCTTCTGGATACATAAATACTTTAGCGTAGGCATTGCGATATACTTTATGATCGCATGGATACAGATCTTCCGCTCCAAAAACGGTTATGACTAAATTCTCTGTTACCTTTTCATGCCATAACTTTATCTTCATCCTACCCGTTACTTTATCAACAGTTTGAATAGATGTTTGAGATGCAATACGATTTTGTAGACGTTTCCTAGCACGATTGGAAGCAATAACGGCAGCAGCAACAGATTTAACATCTTCATGATGCATATCAGCATGTAAATTAGCTGCAGCTTTTGTAGCCTCTTTGGTGTTAATTTCGGGTGAAGGATGTGCTGTTGCATCAGCTGTAACAGAAACAGCTGCAGCAGTAGCTGCCGCCGCTGCAGTAGCTCCAACTGCAGCTGCAACTACTTTTGCGTGATCATGGTCATCTTGAGCAACAACGTGGTTTGGCTCTTTCTTAGCATCGTTGCCTGCTTCGACATGAGGAGTAGCTGACATGGATTCATTAGTAGTGTTACTGTTAAGCTTTACCACCGTTGCATCCTCGACTGTAGCATTTCTTACAGTTTTTATGGAAGTAGAAGCTGCTGGAGTTATTTCGTGAGCTGTATTAGCTGGGATAGTGGAAGCTGTTGAAATTGTTGCGGATGTAGTTGCAACCGCTTCTGTCGTCCCTGCTACCGCAGCTGCTGTTTCTGCCTTCACTGGAGCTTTCTCTGCGGTAGATGATGGTGGTGCAACCTCGCTAGTCCTTGCATTTGCAATTTCATCATGGGCAGAAGTTTTCTCGATACTAGCTGCGGCTGGCACATCGTGCGATGTAGTCGTAATCGAGCTATTAACTGCAGCTGTTGAAGTCATTGGAGCTTTTACTCCCGATGTTTCATGATCATGATCAGAATGATCTGGTTGAGATATATTCTTACTTTCATTAGCGCTCATTTTAGGTGATAGATTGGCTGTTTTATGATCAGATTGGTCTGTTGTATGAATAGTCTTACTTTCTTCGATTTTATTCATTTTAGGTGATAGATTTGCTGTTTCAGTTGTGTTTACTTTTGGTTCTGTGGCTGCATTAACATTGTTTCGCTCATCATGATGGATGGATTCTTCTTCTTTCTGTGGATACGCTTTAGTGTAGCTCGGAGTATCATGTAGGTTAGTATGAGGCTTGTTATCCACTTCTTCTTGTTTCGATTTAATGGCTACTTTAGGACTATTTGACTTTGTGTAAGGTGTAGCTTGACTTCCATGTTTTAGGTCTTTTACAACCTTGTTGCTGTCATGCTCATTTATAGGATGAACTGTAACTCTTTCCTTAGCCTCTTCATCAGCAGAAGGAATATGATTCACTTTCATATCCGTTGGTACTTGTATTTTTGGATTAGACTGTGCTGTTTCAGTTACAGATGGTTCCGACGATTTTCCATCATGATCTAACTCTGTATCCTCTTCAGGTTCCAACAAGAAATGAAGAGGCATGCTAGCAGTAACGCGATGAACAGTTGGCTTAATTTCTTCTTCTTCTACAATAGGATCTGTAGGTGGTTCATGAGAGTGATTGTCAGACTTGCTGTCATTCTCGTCCATGCCAGATCTTAAAAAGGCATTAACTGCTCCCTTCGTTTTAGGCACAGGCGTTATTTCTATTTCCTGTGATGAGTTGGTAATAGTTTTAGGTTCATCCTGTAAATGTTGCTTAGGTGAAACGTTTATGCTCTCTTTGGAGCTTACATTGGTAATTTGACTATTATGGTTGACAGTAGTTGCATCACTAGTCAAGCTTACATTACGATTGGAAGTTGGCTCTGCCTTCAGTGTGTCATTGGCATAATTTTGAGGAGTTACTTTCGTATTCTCTTCAACTTCTTTGGATTTAGAAACAGGCGATAAATCGATTTGAGATTTATTATTAGTGTGGTAGTTATTGGTTAACGGTTCTTCCGTTGCTACCGGGTTATTATCGAACTTACTGGAATTATTGTTAGTTGGTTTGGATTCCGGGCTTGTTATGTTATTCTCTTGTTGATTGGATGAAGTCATTGGCTTCGTATCATCTTGTTTTGTAGCTGGTAATTTATTGATGTCATTTAGTGTATTAGGATTATCATTGGAATCGAGCTGTGATTTACGCTGTATTGCAGTATCCAGCTCTGAAGGTTTAAGTATTTTAGTCTCTATCTTACTCGATCTCCTATTTATTACAATATTAGGGGGCTCACCTTCTTCGTGATGGTCATCATTGACTTTAGGTTCTTGATTGTTAGGTATAGGGCCAACTTCATGGCTAGAAGGGGTACTTACAGATTGTTGGTGTAGTGATGGTTTGGCATTAGGTGGGTTTTCTTTCGACGTTTGACTTTCTGTTGTTTTAGATTGAGTTTCAGCCTTTTCTAATTTGGCTTGCGATTGGATCTGACTAGCTTGCAATGTTCCATCAGTTGCAACACTATCAGATACGGTTGGTTTAACGTTGTTCTGGATTCTATTCATGTCTTTTGAGGTACTATTTGATGGCTGAATATTTTGTCCAGCAGATTTCTTCGTTACCTCAGGACTCTTGGATGGTTTATCATCTTTAGATTTCCCACCAAATAAAGCACTTAATGGACGTCGTGTCGATGTTTGTGGCTTACTTGATTTGATTTCAGCAGCTTTTGACCGAGATCCTACCGATGATTTTTTATTGCTTGATGAGTTATCAACAGGAGTAGAATTGCTGCTATTTACTGCTGCAGCAGTTGCAGCGGCTTTCGTTTTCGATGGAGTTGAATTAGCTGATTTATTCTTTACTTTTGTAGAGCCCTTTCCGGTTTTACTATCAGCATTCATGGCATTAGCGACTGCAGCTGCTTTCGTTTTCGATGGAGTAGATCTTGGTGATTTATTTTTAGCCGTAGTATCTGCTAAAACAATGCCAGCTGCAATAGCTGACTTTGTTTTAGATGGTGTCGATTTTGGCGATTTGCTTTTCGACTTGCTAGTAGGTACAGATTTTGTTTCATTCATTGCTCCGTTGTGTCCATTATTCGTGTTATTCTGTAAATGATTGCTAGCCATTGCAGGAGATGGCTCTTTCTCTACTTTAGTAAGTTGTTGTGGTTGTTTAAGCTGACTTGCAGGTGTTTGATTTTCAATAATTTTGACTGGTAATGCGCTCTTGGTTTGAACTGTGACTTGAGGTTGTTCATTCCTGTTTGTTATCGTATTTTTCATCTTATTACTAGAAGATACTGAATTGGGAATTTTGCTGTCTTGATGTTGTTTGCTTCCACTTTGGTTGTGCTTTAAATTAGTCTGTTTATTGTCACTAGTTGGTCCCTCATTTTCTATCTTTGGTTTAACATCTGCTTGTTGTGGTTTACTAACTGTTGCAGGCTCAGAAGACTTTATTCCATCTTGAGGATGGTCTGGTGGAAGTTTAAAAGCTTGATTTTTAGTATTTGCATTCTGTAGATTTTTAGGAGATGATAAAACAGCTGCAGTAGCTATGCCGGAAGCTAGCGCAGCGTCTACAGTATCCTCTACGGAGGGAATTCTGATGCGTTTCTGCACAGGACTTTCTAAACTTGTTTTTTTAGCTTCATTAACAGTGACAGGTGTATTGATTGGCTCTTTTATACCATCCGTTGGAGCAGCACTTTCTGAGGTACCGACAGCTGCTGCTTTCGTATGCTCTTCTGTTTCTCCATCTGAAAGCGCATCTTCAAATACGTCGTCATCACTGAAATTCCCGACTGAACTACTCCTGGAATGTGTAGATGTAGTGTCTGGAGGTGCAATGTTATTACTCCCTTTTATTGAGTAGAAAATAGAAACGATTATAATTATTACCCACTATTGTCAATATTTCTGTCAATATCTACATAAGACTACATTACTAAAACTATCGCCACTCGTACTTTTAGTAATTAAAATATATATGCAATTTTTACCGGTATGATTTGCTTCCTTAATATGCTCATCATTGTTCACTTTTATGACAGTCTGTGGAGCTTCTTTCTGGACTTCTGGCATAACCACTGGTTTACTAACTGGTTGGCGATCTGCTTTTAGATGCAAATCACCGACCTTACCTGAATCTTCAGGTATGACTTCAGCGTGATTTTGGTGCTCTTGCTTCTGTGTTATGGCATCACCATGCGGTGTAATGCTTTTATCTTGGTCTTTAGGGCTAATTTCGGCATGGTTATCATGTGAATCGTGAATTGCTGCATCTTCAGGCAAATCATTAACGCTGTGACCTCTTGTAGGACTATCCTTTGAGGTAGCCGAATGTTCGTTAGTCTGTGCTGGCATTTCATTTAACGTGGCATCATTTTCTTCCGCTGTAATAGGTTCCTCTTTTGCTGCTTTTGGTACTTCCTTGGGGACAGGATGTAATTGCACCGATGTCGGTTGTTGTGCTTGAGGGATATCATCGGATACGTGCATGGTTTTTGGTACTTCCTGATCGGTTTTGCTGTCTTTTCGTGGCTGCCTATATTTCATCATACAATCGCATAGATTTAAATCATTAATAACAAATATTATGTAAAAGTAACCAATATTAGAGGATGATAGAGCACATAATATCGTACTGTTGAGTTTTCATTTTATTGCTTAATGTCCTCTTTAAAGCATTAGGGTGAGGACGAGGTGGTCGACTAGGTGGCACTTTCTTGGATTCTGATGGCTTTGCTTTGACTTCTGCAGTTTCTTGATCGTTATTTTGACTATAAAAAATTCATTTATCACTGTTAGAACACTACCTCCATTTAAATGTGATGCTCTGCTAAATTATCACAATAGCCATATTATATTGCAGTTGATGATATCTTAGTAATATTTGGTCTATTCAGAAGATTACTAATTGTTATTCTATTCTAATGGATTAAATAATGACTAGTAGCGAACTGCAAATAGACTTACGGTGTATCTTGATTAACAGATGTCATATTACTGGGGGCTGCTTCACGGGTTTTTGTTGGTTTTTCCGCAGTGGTCGTATTCGAGTCATTTTCTACTTTTGGTGGCTGCACTGTTGAGGCCTTAGGGCTAGTTGGTTGATGTTCTTCACCATTAGGTAACGAATCTGAACTATCTTCAGTAGGTTCTTTTTCTGGTTGCCTAAAAGATGTTATATTCTACAGATTATGCTATATTCTATAACAACGAATTTTAGGAAAATATTTTCTAATCACGAGCTTAAGATAACGTAACAGTCAACAATCAACATTATATTTAAGCTAAGGTATAGCTGACACCTTAAACTATGGAAATCTTGCTTTCATTTACTTGTCTTAGTTTAAAATGTAATACTTTGATTTGAACTAAATATCTATGCACCCAGTGTATATATAACAAGTGCAGCAAATAATGTAAGTATGATAGCTGTTAGAAACATTAGAGTTTACCTTTTGGCTACACTACTGCATCATTAAGGTTTCACAACAACTATGAATATATCATTAATCTTTTGGAGTTTTAATGATAAACAATTCTTATTTTAGTAAATCTACAAATACTTCTAACATCCCACCTCGGATTATCAGAAAAATCTGTAGGAGGTGTTGCGTTAACGTTATTATCGTGGGCTGGAATTATTCGATTATCATCGTTGCTTGGTGTCGCTGAATCGCTAGGTTGACTATTAAACCAAGCAAAAATAGTTACAATCTCTTTATAATTTATTACCTGCGAACGCATTAAATATACGATATGGCCGAGCTTACTTACCTTGTTGATTGAGATCTACTTGATCTCCTTTTCAATGAGGCTCGACTTGGTAGTGGTGGTCGGCTTGGTGTTAATTTTTTAGTTTTGCTATCATCAGGAGTTACTCCATCTTCTACATGATGATCATTCCTAAACGGTAATTAAAGATCAGACTAATTGATATTTGAACTACAATATGTTGTGATTATTAAATAACAATTGATTTATGATTAGGCTATCAAGATCGTATTAGTCTGCGATCTTGATTTGCTATCTCATAATATTTTAGATTAATTTTTCACAACATAACAAAAATTTGGTACATCAAGTAGGGCATGAAAACAAACCTTGTAGCTAATTTTGGTTCTTCTTGCGATGATTTCGCTAATTCAACATCGTGACCATTCATTTCACCATTAGGAATAGATTGTTCTTGCTTATCTGGACTGTTATTAAATTGTCAGAAGTATTGAATTAGATAAAGTCATCAAAACAAGAAATTATAGTTATTTCCTAATACTACTTCACAACTAAATATATTATCAATACTCTTTCAACTGTGTATACCATAACCATTATGAACTAACAAGATCTAAAGTTACAGGTATGGAACATAAATGACTTACGTCGGCGATTGTGATAACGGACTACGAGTAGGTGATCTGCTTGAAGATGTAGAATTAGAGCGGGGTGGCGGAGGTCGAGGTGGTCGTGGCCCGCTGGACTTACGCTTAGGCATTGCTGAAAATGATGAAGATCTTGATACTGGAATTCCCTCACCATCCATTTTGTCATGGGGAGTTAAAAGTAACGATCCTGTATGCTCTCGACGTGATGATGTACTATTTGTGCGTAAAGATACGGTACTAGAGTTTAAGCTTTGTGATTGTTGTAATTGAGATGTTTGATTCTCGTCGTTGTTATTAGCATTAGCATTACTTAAAGCTTGTTTAACAGAGTTTGCATTTTGTTTTAACGTAACAAATGCTTTACTTAATGATGATACAGATGTTGAAAGTAAAGTTGGTTTTTGATTAACATTTTCACCAGTATTTTGATGCTCGTATTGTTTATCAGGATCAATCATATTATCTACAGCAGCAGGATCACGTAAAGGTGAAAAATTGCTTGTCGAAGCCGACTGAAACCATTCACCAGTTCTAGCTTGAAGTTCTTTCTTCTTAATACACGCCAAACACGACCAATTTTTCTATATTATCCATAGAATAGAATAATCAAGATTACAACGCTACACGAATATATTTTCATCGAATAACAATCGAACGATTTATGGTAAAATAAAGTAAAAAAAGATGAAGGTTTTATGTCATTTACATTATGATCTTTTCAGTTATCATGTTAGACTCTCCATAAATTAATACTCTATTTTCACCCATAAATGAGTTAAAAGATTGAATCAAATTATAGCTAGTATTATTGGCTAATGAATATGAGTAAGTCGCGCAGTCAATGCATAAATTGCTCATGTAAAAGATATTAGCAAATTTCAAATCTTATTTCATTAAGCGTGGAATGTGAGTTAAATTCAACGCTTCTTTGTATTTTTAAAAACTTTAAGTTAGATTCTAAATTGGATTTTATCGATATCCAGGCATAAGACTTTGCATGTAAAAGAAAAATTTTGTTTACAGTCATAATCTGATCTGTATTGTCTATTAGCTAATCAAGCGCAAAGAATGTCTTAGGCAAGATTAGTTCTAAACTGTTCATATCACGCCAATAGTGTTGCAACTGTACGTGCGCGTAAATATGCACTTATTTTTTGCTTGGTTCTGATATTAAATCAATTCTATAGCATATAAAATTCGTCCGAAAGCCATTTCAGTAAATTTACCCTATGAAATGGCTTCCGCATATAGTAATATCTCTAATCCTATACTATGTAGCTCATCTTACTACTATATAATCCTGGGAGAAATCATTACTGATATTGCCGAAATAATTTCTTATCACTCTCATAAATAATAATGCATAAAGTCTTATATCATAAATTCTAGGATAACCCATAACAAATTTATTCGAAATCGCGTTTATCAACAGTAATGCCCGCAATTTTACTTCTATAATCAATTGGATTTGCCTTAAAATACATTAAATATATGGATCCAGTCGAATGGCTTGCATGAAAAGTTAATATTCTAATTCTATGCTGTGCAGAACATGCTATGCTACTAATCTTAAGGGAAATTATAGCTGGTACTATCCAAATAGCTTTTTGATATGGCTGTCGCCAACAATAATACCAGCAATTCTATTTCGATTATGATTATAATCTGTCCTAAAACGCATTACAGTATAAGGATCCATTGTATGAGAAATCCTCACTAAATCTATCTGATAGCTTCCAATCACTTCATAAGTAGTAATGCAATCACCCATAATCCTACTAAAGTGTAAACTCTAGGATAAGTCATAACGAATTTCTTCGAAATGGCGAACGTCAATACGTTTAATTCTATCTCTATCGTATATAGAATTTATACTTAATAAACATTCTATGCATCTAATCAAATGAGCTCCATAGACAGTGATACGGCTAATTCTACATTATAAAGCACATTTTATGCTCGAGAGAAATCAAGGGTGATTCTATTAAAACAATTTCTATTAATAGTAGCAATGGGCATGATCTATAATTTTGGAATAAATAGCAACGGTTTATGTGGGAATCTATTTTCCATCGACAGTAATATTCTGCCTATAACGTCATAAATCATGTCTATACCTAAACAAACAATAACATTTCCTAGAGAAACAGCATTTGTTTGCTACTTTCAGGATCGAAAGCTAATTAATACCATTTCAATCCCTCAGTCTATTATTCTAGTCCAGAATTAAATAGATTATGTTTACGAGTACGCCAGATGATATCGTATATTAATCTACTAATGGCGTCAATAGGATCAATACTATACAAATATGCGTAAAAATATTTGTCAATGATGATTGAAACTACATTCAAAGAAATAGAAAAGTTATTTCTTCATCTAATGATATACTCGCATATTTTCGTTTCAACTAGATAGAGTACAAAATAACAGTGATAATGGAAGAATAACTAAATCAAAGTTAATTACAGTCCTGTTGGGATATTTAAACAATAACATCTGCTAATTGAAAATACATTCTCATCAGTCATCATTTATACAATGAGAAATAATGATTTAGCTATAGATATCAATAGAAATAAAGGATATTCGCGTCAATAAAAACTATGTATTGATTATTATTTCTCTTAGAGACGAAATGATATACTGTACTTCGATATAACTTCTTGATTATTCATCCATCGTTATGACTACGCAATAGTAATTAAAATATCCAGGAAACATATGGATCAACATTTCAATCCAGTTTCATTGCACTATATAATCTTATCCATTTATTCCATGTTAATGGTATGATAAATAGTTCTATATATCTCACAATGGAGCCTTTCCTTGACAATTTTACAAACTAGTATTTTCTATTTAACCGCTTATTGTGGAGGAGGATGATATTCCAGCATTCTGTAGTATTTCAAATGAACAATGTGTTGACAATTTATTCGTAACTTTTAGTTTCAAAGCTTGTCGATAACTGCTGTTTTAATTTAAGCGAATATTGATGGCTTTAAGATATTCTTTAGTGCTATACTATCACTCATAGCCTATAGAATAGAAGCATTCAGTAATCTATTGTCGAAGGGATTTTTACAAAGTAAATCGAGACAATTCATGTCTAAAATTTTTAACATAGAAATTAGGCCCAATGATTGGAAACAACTTCCTTCGTTATAATAATACTACTGTATGATGATACCATTGATTAATCTATTGGCAAAGGGATTTACACCATAAAATGCCATTTTTTGCTAGACTATTTCACTCATCTGTCTCGATTATAGTAACCTTCATTTTCAGTATTTCCGCTACACTAAATTTCAATCAACAGAGCTACATCCTACATAAAACTATCTAATCGTTAACCTTTGTTTGGTAACGAGTATAGAAAAGGAATTTTCTTTATCTAATCTTTGAAAATTTGATAGGCAATCTACTTAATAAACGCATCTAGTCCACTATTGTGAAGTAGTGATCGAAAAAAATTACGTAGTAGCCCATGGAAAAATATTCTGTCATCATTAATCATCCTACCCGCTGTAATCTTATTATAAAGATGTGTTAAAAAGCACTTCCAATAATTTTCGCTATTATTAGTCTATGAATAATGTATCTAGACTATTAGCAGGCAAAGTAACTCTTAAATATTGGATCAATAACCATATATTACGGAACTCCAATGTATGAAAGATGCAACAAAGTGTACCCATTTTCCGAAAGGTATACAAAAAATGAAATACAAAATGCTATTGCTGCCGATACTATATAACGAGACTGGGTATTAAACTATTTGATAACTCAGCAAGCGTGTACACCATAATGATTTTAAATTAATTAAAGCATTTGACTATCCAATATCCAGCTTAATTAAATCAAAATTGAAATTAAATTAACTAAACCGGTAGTTCGTTATAAAGACCAAGCGGTATCATATCCGTTATGATATCATCTAATTCAAGATTGATATTTAAGAAAAACTATAAACTTATAATGGTTATTAAACTTACCTCTTGCTTTTTATTGGTAATAAATTTTCCACACCGTTTACAAACACGTCTATCACAAAATTTGCAATGATTTCCACCACCTTCAGCAAACTTTGTCTTTCGGCATATGCCGCATATGTTTTTCTCACGTACAGGCTTGGCTTGATCATACTGGTTTACTTCTTTCTTTAAATTACTATATAGTCGAAAATTATCATTACGATTAATTTTATTGAATTTGATTGAAAGTTATTATCGAATTTGTATTTAAATCAATCAAAGTCTAGCTTAGCTAATGAAATTAGGCGGAAAAGATCATATTGAAAACTATCCCATATTGCTATGAAGACTATTGCGTTGATAATAATATCAGAAAATAAAAAATTTAAAAATTGCTTAGGACATTCCATATTAAACACAGCCTGGGATTAGAATATGGATTGAGCAACAGTATATCATCAAGATGGATTAATGTACTCTCTTCAAATGCCTTATTTAAAGGAGAAATAATAAATAGCTATAGAAAGTAAAGACTTAACAAGTAATTCTACATATTGTCAAAAACAAGTCGCTTAGCTAATCTGGATTAAATAGGATATATATTTTGCGAATGGTTTATCTATCTGATATTATAAACAAGGATATCGTGACTGCATTTCATATAAGTATGAGAAATTAAGCTACAAACAAAACGTCTTGAAACAATTTTTACAAATAAATCAAAAGAAATCCTCATAGCTAATGCACATAAGCTGGTTATGCAATTTTTCAAGTTTTACCCGATCTAACTATAAAGGATATTGTGTCGCATAGTCACTAGAGTAGAAATTAATGCAATGTAAATAAGTTAGATCAATCAACTTCTAAGGATAGCTGCTAAGGAATTACATCAAAATTTTAAAAACGCCCTTAACATTTCGAGTAAAAGATTGTAAAACTGATCTCGATTTGTAATTTGCTCTACGTGCAACTTTATGTCCATCTTAAAACTCATTCCTCGGTATAGAATATCTCCGTTTTTAGCCTAATTGATAATCTAAATCATTTTCTCTCTATCAAATTATGTCAACTTGGCGGTCAATAATCTATGTCTCCGTTTATAATATAATTTATGAATGATTTAAGCTACTTGAAGTTGTTCTTTTCCTATACGCTAGAAGTGATTAATTATCAGTTACCAAATTCCTGCCCCAAGGAAAACTACAGGTAGCTTAGCTTTCAAGATGATTTAAGAGCGAAACGATAGGGCTCAATATTACGGAATATCGGAAGGCAATATTTCATTGTGGTCTCTCTAAAACTGCTATATCGTTAGCGTCTAGCAATATCAATCCCATTTCGTACACCATATTCTCTTTACAAAAACATAAAGTTAAGACAGGCGTTTATGAAAATGATCCAAAGAGATTCCACTACTGTCATAAGATTTACAGTGTGCTGATTAAACCATTATCGTATCATCGACATTACAGCTTGCTTATTTTACGTATAAACTGTTATCATCGATGATTAAGCGTTACTTTTTCTATCTTATTTTCATCTGAAAGATGAGAACCCTAGCAATATGAGTAGAAAAAAAGCGGTCGCTTATGCTCTGACAGATATTGACACTTCTCTTTCAATTCTCTCCTAGGCCATCTCATCTAAGTTGTCATTTTTAGTCTATTCCGGGGTAAAAAAAGAGTAATTATCAAGGGATCCTATCACATTAAGACAAATAAATACGGCCAATAATGATGATGACCCATTTCATCTGAAGTGGCACTTTTTACTCTATTCCGATGTTAAAAATGAGTCACTATCAAGGAGTTTTATCACGTTAAGACAAATAAGTACGTCTAGTGATGATCACCTATCTCGTCTAAAGTGCTATTTTTTAGTCTATTGCGATATTAAAAATGAGTCGTTATTATCAAGGGATCTTATCATGTTAAGACAAATAAATACGGTTAACTATAATCATCATCGAGGAGCTATTAATTCTAAAAAAGCGCTTCTCTTATTTTTCTCTTATTGTCAAAGTGGTCTACATTTTATATCCTAAACTAGCTGTAATGTTATTTATTCTTGTTGTCAATGTGGTCTGCAAATTGTGTAATACTAGGCAGATATGATATAAATCCTAAATAAGCTGCAATATTACTTTATTCTTGCTATTATTAAAGTGATTTAAAAATTACAGAACACGAGATAGATATCAATTCTAAAGAAGCTCCAATGTTAGTGTATTCTTGTTGTCCAAGTGGCTTGGTAATGGTATATCATTGGATAGATATGTAAGGATGAACCTGAGATGTAAATTACCTTTCCTTATGCTTTTAAAATTATAGTTAAAGTACTGGTAATCAAGCTATCTTCAAATATTGAATAAATATTACGGTAATATATTAATCCTTATTGAAGATTTACAGCTATAGTATTGTTTCAATCCTGTTATTATCGTGACTTAAATCAATAGCATACTAGTACCGCAGCTATACTTATTTACTACGTAGAAAATAAAATAGATACCTAGGTTTTAAATCACGTTAGAGATTTTTGTCATCGTCGATCAATATTCAATTTACTCTAGCATCATAAATAAAAATATCATAAATGCAGTGATGGTCAATCAAACTATTTACACTTTGGATAGTATTCATTCAGAATTATCAAGCAAAATCTTATCATGCCTCTTCTTCACTCTTGAATTGGCTATACTCTTATTACAGGGTAAGAAGTGTTTCAATTTGATCACAGGATTCTTCAACAATCAATTTTGCTTCGAGATGATTATAAATTTTTTGTTACTTTTATTAGACACTCTAACTAGACAATATAGAAAAAGAAGAGTAACACCTTGCAGTTTCCCTTTTATCCTTTACCCCTTTGATTATCGTGGTTGTTATTTTAGAATCAGTTTTTAAAGTTAACTTTTCATTCTAAATTAAAGCATCTTATAATAAAGTTACATACCAAGTTCAACATTCACGGCTATAATTCTTATATTAAAAGGCAATTATATTGTCTACCTTCCCCTTATGGGTAATCATGTTGCCTATAATGTATTATGAATCGATTTGAAACTAGTCGCAAAATCCGCAAATTTTATGATATTGCAAGACAAAATTAAGTGGCTCCTTTCACTTGAAGGGTGAAAAACGATGATGAAAAATGGCTATAACGGAATTGTTGACATCCCCTAAAGTCATAAACGGGTAGATATCCGTTTCAGGCTAATTATTCGACGAAATTACGTATTGGATAAACTCGTATACTGTATGAGATGATCATTTGATCTATCTTTTTATTCTTTCTAAATTACTAGGATGAAAAGATAACCTTTAAGGGATGGAAAAGAGTAACTTTTGATTTATTATTGCTTAGTGCAGAGCAATTACAAAGAAAGGGATTCTAATGTTTTTGATACCTTTCGCTAACATAATCCTTATTAAATACAGTAGAAAAAAATGGATGATATCAATTCTAAATAGGAAAGATAAAGTAAACGTATATGTCGGAGATAGTTGGATGGTCCATTTTTTTACCCTTTTTCCCCACCAATAGATAGTTAAAGAATTCTAGTAACTTTGATACCTTTCGTCAACATAATTTTACTGTATGAAAAATAAATGATGTTAACGCTAAAGCAGAAATGAAACAGATGACGATCGACGATTGCGACGATGCTTCATTTTTCTACCCTTTAAACCTACCAATCAGTAGAAAAATGGATTCTACTATTTTTGGTGCCTTTGGTCAACATACAAGAAATGACACTTTTGCTGTAAGAAAAAATTATAATGTGTGTAATAGTACTAGTGAAAGGAAAACAAAAGTAGACGTTCGATTCTAAGCCGACGGCAGCGAGAATGGTACGGATTATGCTATTTATGTGGGCCTTTAGTTCCCATTAATACCATAATCTTGCTTAAAGAAAATGAATACTAAAAAGGAAGAATAGTCCGTATTGGATTCTAGATCGACGATAGCGTAGATGGTCTACTGTATTTTCTTACCCTCTAGCCCACAGCAGATATCAACCACTTTAGTGATAACAAAATGACACAGGATAAGAGTCTTCCTTAGAAATTTTTTTAAAAGAATTTCAGCAAAGTCGCGAACTAGTTTAGGTATGTTCAATATTGAAACCTTTTTCAATCCGAATCGAAATTAAAGCACTCTAAATAGGATATATTTCAATCTATTTTATTCCTACTGTGGAAGCATCATCTTTAAACAAAAGGAAAGTCATAGAATGGCTTTCCAAGCAGATTAAAATCAATCTACACATGATGGCTATGATGATAGTTAGGGAGAAATTAGGAATCTTCACGGTTACCTCTTCGAAAATTAAACTACTCGATTGTATAAACTATTTATTCATATTCTACCTGCTAAGCAGGTAAAAACTCGCCATTGAAAGTGAACGATCAAGGATGTATCGATAAATTTCAATGGTTAGATATTTTGAAATGGTGCAGTGATAGAGATATGATCGCCCATCCATAAGTTCTCGCATTGTTATAAGAATCAAGAAGGAACAAAAATCACCAAGTAATAATATTAATAAAATAAAGGAATGGACACGATCAACGATAATACTGCCATGATATAAAGCGTTTCTATACGACTTTTTAATTTCTTTGACTGTAAACGCATCAGCTAAAAATCTTAATTAACAAGTAACTTGCCAGTAACAGCAACAATAATAGTCAAAAAGGATATACTTTTCTGCGATATTACCGCCCAAATTCTTAAATTCTATTACATTCATTTTGCTAGTTCCAAATTCCAACTTATAGGTAATCATAGCAGTAAAAAATAAAGGAGAAAAGCAAACGAAAGGATAGACAAAATAGATGATAGAATACTATCAAACATGGTGTTTACGTGGGGCTTTTTTTATCTTTTTGCTATGCTAAGGCAGATGTTAAATCTTTAAGTAGTGAGCAACAATACTAGCATAATAAAAGAATGGACAAGGTCGACGATGGCTCTACCCCTTTATCCACTCTATATGATTTTTATTTCCCGATTATGTTACTGTAAGCTAAAAATCCTGGATATATCCCTATCTCCACTTTAATGACAGCCATTCCATTCGGTTTGTTATCACTAGAATTAAACGCATCTTTTATTACAATTACATTCCAATTTTACGAGGGATATGAAAATTCCCTTCGATGAAATAATTGCTCATCGAATTATATCAAAGCATGTGATCAAGCGTTAAAGAAGAAAAAGCAGTGAGCAAAAGATGCCAAAATAGAGTAGGTTGATATAGTTTATCCATGGTTAGAATAATTGGAAAATATAAGCACTAGGTCAAACACGAGTTGTTGGTTACTAACTTGCTCAGAAAAATCGAAATTATAAATTTTTACTGCACTGCCCAATTGCCCGCGTGGATAAAAGCGATAATCCTCAACGTGAATTGACTTGTTCACGAAAGAAGGAGAGTATATAGATGAAAAATTTAGAGAAAGCATAAAATTTAAGATTGCCAGAAAAGAAAGTATACTCTATAAACATGGACTACAAAGTTTGTAATTTAGTAGTCCATGGCTAAAAAGCTGGCGTAGTTTAATGATCGATCAGATGAACGGATGGTTTCAATTAGAACTACGCTAACCGTGAAGTCAATAATGACAAGGATATTGAAATCTCATTCATAAAAAATATCGGCTTAATTGCCCACTGGAGAAATTACGGATAAAGCTTCAAAGACGGAAGACATTGGGCAAAAAAATAGTTAAGATAGTATAAACTACTAGATAAGACTGATGTCGTTTAAAGGCTACTATGATAGATAGATAGATTCAAGGTAAGAATATCTCAGTCATGGGAATATTCTTTATAGGAATACAAAAAAAGTCTATCTATGAAACAGATCAGAAGAGAAGACTGATTCAATTATAATGGATCTAAAGCAGTGACTCGACTTGTTAAAGTAAAATTCCTTTACTCTAGTCATTCGGTCATTAAAACTACAGAGATTTTAAAAAGGAAAAGAATGAACGTGGATCCAGAGCAGTATTTAGTAACTTGACTGGATAAATCACAGACGCATTTCTCTGGTCTATTAAATCAATCAATTACTGAGATTTAAAGAAGGTAAAGGATGGATTAAATATAGGTCTACATGCGAATCGCATTACTCTAGTAATTAAACCATTCAAGTAATGGGGTATTTCCTAGAGGGAACAGATTGGCTTAAATATAAATTTACCGCAGAATGGCATTAATACCCCTAACCATGAAATGATTCAAGTTACCGATATTTTCAGAAGGTAAAGACTTGATTAAATACCGATCTAAAGTAGAGTTATACAGTTCTAGCTATTGAATTAGTCAAGTTACAAAAATTTTTCAAGAAAGTCAAGATAGGGTTAAACATAGATAGAATTAAAAAGAATCCACAGTAGTGATTAGTAATTCGACTTGATAAAGCAAAGTCGCACTACTCTAGTCATTAAATCATTAATTGCAGGGATTGAAAGAAATGGTCACTCAATCGTCCATTTGTAAAAAATACTTAGAAATGGACGGTCTAGAAGTATCGAGTATGAAGTACTCCAAGGTTATTGAATTCTTCGGAGAATGATCTATTCTACATTTTAGTATACTGTTGAAATAACTTCATGTTTTAACTTAAAACTCCATTACCTATTGAGTTATTAATTAAGAGCCTTAATCGGCATCCGATATTCATTGGTAGGCTACAATAATGCAGATTTGGCTAAGTAGGTATTGTCGTACTCTAAAATAATACTCCAAATCGACAATAGGGCCTATCAAAGTATTATTCAATCCAATAGCTAAATTATTTGAGTATTTTTTCTAACCCAAGTGATTCAATATACTTGATCGAATCAGTATGAATAACTGTGGATGTTATAGTAGAAATTTATTGCTAAGAATGCTCGAGATTTATAATAGTAATAGTACATTGCCAAAAGCCAATGCTAATAGTTCATTTTTAACTGAAGCAATTAAAATGGACAATATTATATGGTGGCGAGTAGGATTGCCAACAACGAACATCCTCATTTGAGTATAGTTGCTAATAATAAGTTTATAATAGTAGATTGGAAATAATAGCATTGAATACAGCCTGAAAAGGATGTTACTCCAAGATTTTATCATGACTGTCCTGATAGAAAGAAAAGCAATAGCTTATACTGGTAATCGAGCAATAGACTATGTTAGTATTTTCACTTTCTTCTACGGACTATTTATTCTTTTGCTCAAGCGCTTAAGATCATTTCAAAAGTAATCTATCAGCATGATTAGGATATGATTCCAAAAACGGATCAAGAGCTTAATATTCAGCTTACTATCTGGAGTTTACAACCATGATAGGATAAGTTTTCAATAATAAAAATCCATTTGCCAAAGTAGAATTGATAAGTCCCTGAGGGAATCTTGTCAAGTATTTGATCATGAATTGGATGTTATGAAATTCAATATGATCAATATTGTAGTTTAGCCTTCAACTAGGCTAGATATTGGTGGTAGATTCTAAAATTGAATATCATCTATTGACGATAGCAATGTTAAAATTAAGATACCCTTTACATAGTTAAAAATTTGGACCTCTTTGCACTTTTATAATTACTTTACGGTAGTAACTGATCAAGCAAAGATGCTCAAAATGAATCTTCATTTGTTGGTACATAGTAGATAGCATCAATGCTATTAAAATTTTCAACGTTTTATAATTAAAAAGTTTCAAAGCTAAACATTCTTTTGTAACTAATAATACACTCATTGAACAGTCTTAACGAGTCTTATTTCGATATATCAATAACATTTGAACTTCTTCTCTTGACCCAAATGAAAAGTAAAATTCTTGATGCAATTACTATTTTTTTAATGATATTCGATACCTTGTCAAGATATCGTTTAGAGTGTTGAACTAAAAATGTCCTATTTCTATGCTATGTCAGTTTAGTTATTCGCTAACTATTTCAATATTCTAAGTTGATTAAAATGAATTTCACGATGGCTAATGTATCCTAATACACTCTAAATCATGATAGAAAGCCAAGAAACAACTTCATACATAAAGTACATGTCAATTTTTTGGTACTTGCACCGTATTAATTGAAAAAGAAAAGAAAATGGAAACTATATAGAATACTTAAGTATATAAAATTAAGTTGAAAGAAATAAGAGAGCATTTAAAAATAATGTGTAGTGCTATGCTGCCAATAAAATTAACAGCAATAGCACAAAAAAAGCTTAAAAATTCAAGTAAAATCCATTGCAACAGTCCAAGTACTTTCTCATGATGATTGAACGACTTTTGAAAGGCTAAGATAATGAAATCTTCTGTAACAACTTTTACTTTTACTGTTCAATATGGAAGATCTGGCGATACAAGACTTTATGAACGAGATAAGCAACCCTTTATCCTATATTAATAAACTTATAAAATTTTTGATTGATAATTCCTTCTACAATTTTAGGCGTACAAAGAAGACGATCAAATTGGGCAATTTAAGCACGACTGACAGAGAAAGATGCAGTTACAAAGAGATATTTTATAACAGCAAAGAGAACAGTTTATATCCAAGAAAATGGAATGTCTGTCTTTGAATGATGAATGATAAATCGCTTCCCCCCCCCAAAAAAAATGGAAAATATCAATTTAAGAGCGTATGTTCATTTTTTAAATATTTTCATTCTATGTATAAGACATAGATCAGTGATGTTGACCAAATTATAACATCGTTAATAAGAAAAAGGAGAAGAAAAAGCCTTGCAGACAAGAACTATCCCTTTCGTCTATTTCATTTCTTTCTATAATTTTACTTTTTATAACAGTTTTCTAACCGTTTTTCTTATAAGCTATTTTATACACCAACTAATCCAATATAATTACTGATAGATTTTAGCCACAACTACGATCAAGATTAAAGACCAATATTATTGATCTTTATAGCTAGTTGTAACTGCGAGTAGTCCCCTTTTAAATTGAACTTTTGATATACGTTATGCATATTATATAAATTCGTTCCAATCATACAATAGCATTTCCGATGGAATTCTAGCGTATCCTTAATTGTATAGTAATTTAGTCTATATTTTTCTAGCATCAATATAGTTGTCAAAGTAACAATTCACTCTAAGGAATTTGGTATACCGTGGCGATTCTAACGAATTGATCATTTTCATACTTGTTGTAACTTGATTTCCATCGACTCATGATCGAAAGGAATAACGATATCATTTTAAATTATCCATCAATGATAAAAGATGATTTAATTGAAAATATATAATAGCGATAGCATAATTTAATACAACTATATTGATTATATTTTCTATCGAAAGCTATCCATGTTTATCTGCAGTAATGATGACAACTATTCTTCACAACGCTATACAAATTCTTGCTCTAATGTACAATATTTTGTTCAGACTTCGGCTGGATGCTTTTCCTGCATGTTTTTATCATCTAACGTTACAACAAATATTTATGGATCATGTTCACAGGAATAGTATCATTATGTAATTGACTAGCATCGTCCATCTTATTTCATTAACAAATAGAACATGGACTAGAATACACCGCTAAATCTTCTACTTTTGATGCCTTTAGTCCTACGACTAATCCATATCGTTATCTGACTAATTGTTTAGACTCAATTAGAAAGGAGAGAAAATTGTAAAAAAATGATCAAGGAAAACATTTATCTATCATTTCCAATCCTCCCTGCTCCCAAAAATAGAGATGAATCATCACGATCATCACGGTGATGTTATCATCAACCATAAGGACTGTATATATAGATGGTAACGGTACATCATCCGCTGCCGACATTAATAATGAACTTATAGTTATCGGTAAATACATCTGATGATGATAAAATTAAATTCTAATAAAAAACGCAAGTGATTACACTTGAAAGAAAAATCTTATTTTGAGCTTAACTTACTCTACATGGGCTTGATTTTGCTCATCAAATTGTTTTTGCTTTTTTAATACTTCTTGAATACGCTGTCTTTCTTCTTCGGTTAATCGTGAAAATTGAGGTAAATGTTCTACCACTTCAAAATCGTCGCCATCATGCCCATTATGGCTAGTAGACCTATTTGTATTCCCAAAGAATACATTTTGTATCTTGGATGGCCACATTCTTTCTAAATCTGAATATAATAATTTATAAGACCATGGATAGATAGATCATTCAACTCTTCTATGTAAATTAATCAACCGTCTTTTGAAGGAGGGAAGAGGGAGAAATGGATGATAACTCGACGTAGTTTTCGTCTGTAACGACAAGGTTATAAAGCTCCAAGCCTTGGTACGATAATCTTGCTTTGACTAGGGTGAAAATATATCCTTATCAAGGTAATATTTGCAGAGCGATTGCTTAATTTTTAATTCGTAGTAAGTCAAAAGCGGTGTGAAAAATGGCAGACACGCAATACTACAATGAAAAGGGATTGCTTGCGTCTGTTCAAGTTCTATTCTTCGTTTAATAGATGATATGATGTTGATTACCCAAATGTAAGTTAATATCGATCAATCTAGCAAACGAAAAAAGATTAGTTATAAAATGATCTATCATAGCTGGATAGAGAAAAAAATAGATCAAAGATAATATAACATGATTACTGATGGAGCATATTTATAACAATATTAAATAATCTATTTGTCTCGGGTTATAAATGCTATGATTGTATATACATGATTTTAAACTGATGATTTACAACGTTGACTTAACGTGACTACTTTATTCCATATAAGCTTCATTTTTAGTAAGAAAAATTCAAAAATAGAATAAGAATATAATATACCACTATTTTATACTGAAACTATAACTTACACAAGTAATCCACGCTAAAAATGACAATTATGTTATTCATAAATACAAGTAGTAAAAGAATTTCTCTTAAGAAAATCACAAAACTGATCAAAAGAGTAAAGCATCAAATGATAATGTCAGCACTATGTCTACGAACTGATAGGTTGTTGCTCTGTCTCTCTCTCTCTTTCTTCAAATTAAGACAAATACTGACGATCATATTAGTATATTGCTGATTTCTACTTGGTTGAAACTAGGAAATTATCAATCGGTAGTAGAGAGAAGAAGGAGAACGAGACAGCAAAAAGAGGAAAATAGTACGATAGTTGTAATGAAGAACTTGAAATGATACAATTATAAAGGCAATCAAGTGAGAGACTTTAGCATACGCAAAGACTACTGTACTGTATATCTAATTTCTACAGTAAGTATTATGAATTTCAACACAAGGCGGTATTTTCTCCTTTTATCAGTCATAATTATTGGTAAAAAATAATAAGAAGAATATATCCAATCTTATGTAACGTATAAACGTCTATCATAAAATGTACGCTAACTAGAACGAATACGGATTACCGAGAAAGCATCATTTTACTTAGATATTTTTACCCTACGAGTGTATTTTAAATCTGTCTACACACCAATCAAGACGACTACAACGAGCAAAAATCATCAGCTTTCTTCTATTACGTCAATCTTCTTGATTAATTTGTCATACTAATCTGTTCAAATCACTAACATAGATGATGATCGATTTTATACTGGCTTTTACAATACTACGTAAAAGTCTAAAATTACTGATTGGGTTACGATCACGTTTTTTGATGTAATAATAAAAATTTATAACGAATTGATTTCAAATCTTTATGAACAATCATCGCATTATGGATAAAATTCTTTGATAGAGAAGATTTAAAAATTGCATAATCTATTTACTATAGGATATACAGTTAAGAAAAAATAAAAATAATAAACTTCAATTGAGTATGATTCATTTGCAGCCGTATTAAAAAGTTAACGATATGTCAGTAGAGCTTACTGACTAATCAAAATGAAAGACTTACATTCCTTTTCTCGTTTCCTTTCCGCTTTTTCTCGATGTTATTAAGGCTTTTCGTGGCTCTTTCTAATAATTTAGGCCAAAAATGGAATCAATAGATCAGTGAGTGAGCAATCGATCGATGAACGATTGTGCTGTCTAATTTCGGTTTATCCGCCTTGTACTGGAAGTTAGAGATCCGTATGTAAAAAATTGGTAAAGAAATAAGGGTAAATTTTCAGTATGGTATCGACAATATAATCAATGGACAATAGTTCAATCGTAGTAGGATGTGGACAAGTAGAGTGTATTGTTTCCACAAATTGGGAAAAGACTTTGGAAAAATCGATCAAGTGAAGTGATAGCTAGGAAGATTCCAACCGATTTTTCTCCTTGTTGTAGACGCAAATAGACGCTGGTATTGTTATTGGATAGGGTTGCTAAAGAATAAGACAACGGAAACAACAAAAAATGATAAAAATAAAGGGTAGAACAAAAATCAATTATCATGAACAATATAATATTCAACTATTCCAGTCTATTTCTATTTTATTCCTATTATAATAGATGGAGATGAAAAAGAATCATCAATACTACTGTATTATAACTTGTATTCTTGGCTAGAAGAATACATTTTTTAGATATGAATTATACAGAGTCATGAGTATTTTATAATACGACGTTATTCATAAGAGGAGGAGAAAAAGTATAGCTTAGCTGTTAAGGTACACTAGTCAATGATTGTATTCAAATGAACAAAATGCTAATCAGTCGCCATACGATCAAGGCTGCTGTACGGTAATGAGTCAACATCTATTACCGGTATTAATAATTCTGCTTCATTTTCTATCAATAGTAACTTCTAGAGTTATTTTCTTCCCACTCCTCCCATATTCAGCCCTTGCTATTATTTCCTTTATGATTAAATCACTCTTTATTTTTGAAGGAGATGTCAAAAATATCGACCAAGATTCATCGATATAATTTAACTTCAATTTCGTGATTTAAAACGCTTCAAAAATGCGGATCCTATCAACTACAATATATTCTAGATGTAAGTTTTCCCTAATTATTTTCCTATGCTATTTTTATACTTTTTTCGTTATTATTATATTGCATCGATTAAGGCAAATAATATCGGTAGGATAGAGTAGGAATGTCACTGGAAGAGTATAAAGATATACTTATAATTTATTTTTATTAGATCAACGCTATTTGACTTGGGGGGGAAAAAAAGGTAGAACAATAGAAAGTTTTGATGAGGACTTGCAGTAATTTATCAGGTTATTAACGATGTTACTAATGCTATTGTAACTTATATTTCAGATCGTATATTACATTGATGATCGAGACAATATCTATTAGTTTAAGAAGAAAGAAAAGGTGGAGATATCTAGTCATCATAACGCGACAATTAAAATAGATTAAAATAATGATGATTCATAGTGGGCTTGTAAGTATAATCTACAGATAAAAGATCAAATTTTTAATACACACAAAATCATCTGGACGCAACGCTACAATATGGTTTAGTAGAATATCAATGATGATTGCGATAATAGATACAATTTGTCTTCTTTCTCGGACCCAACGTATAGACTGACATCGACAACTAGGTTAATCGTGTTGATATAGATTTCCATTCAATTTGCGACAGATTTACAATTGATTTTAACTATTTTTTTCTTATCTTGATTAAATTAGCTCATATTAAAAAATAAAGAGCTGGCATGAAAGATTTACAAGGTTAACTTCAGTAAAACTGCTATCATGTCTTTATATGAGGTGATTTTAATATACCTGACTCGATAGGACAAATATATGTATATAACAGGCATGAATATTTATACCTGATTCAATTAGGTGATATACATGAAAATTTTAAATTGAAATTGGATAAAAATTGCGGAATATTGATTATCATAACAAAGATTCTCTTGACACATAGACGGAATATATATCCACGCATGTAGGTAATACATAGATGGACAACGGTATTCATCATTGTTACCACCTATCTTACTTTAAAAATAGCCAATATTGACCATAATAGAGACTTTTTGAGCAAGGATAAACTCTCCTATTATGAAAAATCAACATTCAAAATATAAGAATAAAGCTATATTAACAATCATCAGAGAAGCGTTTCTAATTTGATTTAGTTACAAGAATTTTGTTAGTTTAGAGCTATGAGATAATTTTTTACCTAAATAATGATGCATAAAGGCGTACGATATATTAGCGCTAGATAATACGAAGTATAACGGGAAAAAAACATTTTCAATGTTTCTTAGAAGACGCTGATAGGGTTGCCAATTACGGCATATCATCAACATTATCCTAATTTTACAATTACTCTGGAAAGAGAAATTGACAATAAAGCATGTTGTAGTATCGACAGTAGCTTGAAATAATATGCAGATGATATTAACTGTAATATCAAACTTGATAGCTATTATAATCAATTCATTAATAATCGTCTCCTTTTCATAATTTCCATTTAGAAATAACGATTTCTCTTCAACTGCGACGTAATAGCAGCATTATCTCAGTGATATTTACTCGCTATACGACAGTATATTCTACTTGTAGTAATCTATGTTTTAAAATTGCATCATCGTCTGCCTAATTTATATCCAATTTAGCATTTAAGACCTAAGTAGATGATCATTTAAACAAAATTTGACGTCAAGAGATTACTAATTTTTATTGATCCACCCTTATTTACCTCATCTTATCCGCCCTGACAAGAAAAGTAAGTAGCATCATCGATAGAACCCCACCCTAATCTAATCCAAATTTTTGAATAGTACCATATGTTTCACATATCATATGATATATTGACTCGTGATCCTCGCCATTTCTTAGAATAGTATAGGGCGTATTCTAACTAATTGGGCTTATTGACTTGATGGTATTCGATAAATATTTACATCAAATTAACAGAAAATTGCGATAATTTATGATAGGAATTCAAAAGATATGTACGTAGTTAAAATATGTGATTGAATTAAATAGAATTAAATGTTGTCTACAAATTATTATTGCTGATATGTCATACACGAAATGGTCCTTTTTCGGCATTCATGTGTCTCAGTTTTTAACTTTAATGTATTCATACTGATTGATAGATTAATACAATAAAATGATATAAGCGAATCTTTATTATCGATAATCCTTTTGGATACTTTCAGGCGTTGATTACTTGATTTATGTTGATCAACTTTTTTAGAAAGATAGCTTTCTATGTTCATTATTACTTCTAAATAATAAATCATGCTTTGTGTG